TTCATGTTGAACACAAGAACACAAATGTTCACAAATCATCATCAAATCAACAAAATTAATATCAATTACCTTGTATAGCTTTTTTTAGGTAACCTTAAGCTTTTCCAATACAAAAATTAAGCAAAAACTCATCCAAAACACCATGGGGTAGCAGTCATATTCAACCTTTAGGAGAGGATATCTCACTCAAAACAAGGCTATAAGGTGTATGGTTTTAGGGGTTTTGCTCACAAGGAATCTTTTTCATATTGAAACTTTCTTGAAATAATGGCTAGAAATCAAGTTCTTTCAAACTCTCTCACACCATAGAAGCTACGATAAGAAGAAGGAGAAGATATTTTGTGTGTCTTGAAGAAATAAAGAAAAGATGAAAAGTGGTTTGAAATTCAAAGGCTTAATGGTTAAGTTTTCAATACTTTTTCACTTTTAAACTTAGATATTTTTATCCAACTTTAACCAAACTTCCAAGACAAGACATGCACTTTAAAATCAGCCAAACATGCGTGGGATACACCAAAGATGAAGGGCAAACTGACTTGGTTGGAGAAAATATCACAAAGCCCACCATTTTTGACTTTTTCAATGAATAAAGTAATTTAATTTTCATTGGTTTTCACTTTACACATCACACATTTAAACTTTTGACCAACCAATCACATAATAACATAATTACATATCACAAATAGCAAACAAAGCAAAACATTCATCTTTGACCAAAGATTAAGCCTAGGTGTAAAGTTAAAGTTTACTTTTTAACCTAGTTGATTTTTTAATTAATCAATCTTTGACCTAGTTATTTAAATTATTCTACACATTATTTAATTAAATTAGATGCATATATAATCCTTAGAATTTATCAGACAATTTAACTAGACTGTCACAATTCAGTTCAAACATAGTTTGCAGAATTACCAAAATACCCCTATTAACACAATTTTTGTATTTATGTCTCTAAAAATAACTTATGTTCTTTTTAGGTTCTAATTGACTTGTTAAGCATGAATTGTATCCTTATATCCATTGTCATGATAGTTTCATGATTTAACTGTCAGAATTCTCTTAACAGTCGTAAAATTCACAAACTATCTTACTTAACTCTCAATTTCACATAGAATGAGATTTATGGTTGTTATAGAGTACATCTCGCTCCTCATGTCTACAACATAAGTAGCAAGCTGGGGGACTTCTAATATGAACCTATTACATGCGATATAAAGGCGCAAGATCCCAGAAATCCCTTGTGACTTAGCCACCAAGGCTAATTCCTCCCGCGTAGAAAGCGTGGGATCTCGCTAACTTAGCGAGCAAGCCAAACATGACTTAACCTTAAAGGAAACATCATTGCTAAGATTAGCAGCTTAGGCAAGTTGGCCACCACCGGGAACCATTGAACTAATGGCAGCTCCTACTTGCCATCATATCTACTGAATCTACTACTAAACATAGGCATGCCCACCAAGGATAGCCTGAGAGAGGCCACCCTCTTCACCAATAAATATGAACATTGTCTTGTGAAAAACAGTGAGAAACAAATGCGCTCAAGCATTATAAATTCAGATGATTTTAGCCCGAATATGATATATCTTTTTGAATACTTGAACCTCCTTGAATACTAAACTGACTTGAGCATCAGAGTGACTTTGCAGGTACCCCCAGTTGTTCTCAAATATATATGCAAAGTGTTGGTCAACTATCTCGCCAAAGCTATTCAACATCTCGACAAGCTCTCTTGTCATCTCTCATTATCTTCATCAACATCCTCCACTTTAACTGTGTGTGATTATGCCCAGCTCACCTGGAGTTGGACTGATCACCAACCTTACTCAATTTCAACCCAAACTTACTTTATAATAGTCTTAACCTTATTATGAATACCATTTATAATATGTAAGTTATGAGAAAATGAATTGCATTGCTTTCATTACACTACATAATAAGCTATGCATAATTATACGAAATTTCATAAATAACAATAATATTCCAACTAATTCTCAACTATTAAAATTGACTTCTTGACTTGGCGAACTTTCAAGTACAACTAACTCCAGCTATAAGAGTAAACAGTCAAACCCTTGTTATCACAATAAGCATAGTCTTTATTAGCTTCTTTATTAAGTAGTAGTTTTTATAATTAATTTTTTTTAATAATTGACTAGTACAAGTTAAGATGAGAGTAAAAAGAAACTTTATAGTATCAATAAATGAAGATTAAATCCTTTAAAAAAGTGCAAATTATTGTTAAAAAAATAAATTCACAAATTGTGTTACATTTCGTGGCTGTCAACTCCTGAAAATTAATGGGTAGGCAAATGTTATTCGTAAATTGTATAGGGGAATTTGTGGGACCTCCTTTTGTTTTCGGTTTTGTTTTCCCAAAAAATAATGATATTTTTATTACATATCTAACCATTAAACTTCATTAAAAAAAAGGCTAGCTGAGTAGAAATGAAAGTCAATATCCTATAATTTTAAGTGAACGAACAACTTTCCTAATATTTTCAGGCACCTCACTTCAGAACAGTTTGCTATAAATCATTCGTACTTTTCTATTCGTTTTTCGAGATATTTTTCATAGTTTTTAGGTGGTACACCTTATCATAAATAAGGTTTTGAACACAAAAAGTAAATCAGTTCAATACGCTGTCATCCATCCACAATTTGTTGTAATTTTAATAAACTTGCCGCATTTTTAATTTAAGAAATAAAACAATTGGATCTATGGTAATAAATTAATGGAGTTTGTATTTGTTATTTAACATGACACAACAAATTTTCTTACACGCACAATATTTTGTGGGGCTTACATTTTTTGAAAAAAAAGAAAAAAAATTACGGCACGCAAAACGAATCTCTATAACATTACACAATCACTTTTCCTACAACATAACTCTTATAAAATCCTAAATTAATTTAATCAAAAAGTTTAAGTTATTGGGTGATGAGTTTTTTTAATAATGTATATTATTTTCTAACATATTTCCTTGTACAAGAGTCCTACGGACTTAAAGTGTGAACTTTGTAATAATCTATTTTTTGTTTATATTATACTTATTTAATTCTATTATAAAGTAGAGAAAGGTAAAGATCGAATTCCTAACTTTATGATCACTAAAGCTATGATATTATATAAATAATGAATTAAACTAAAAACCTTAAATTATTAGGTAATAATAACTTATATTAGTCTCTTATATCTATAGGGCAATATTGCAGGAAAATTAATGGTAAGAGAAAAATGTCTACCAAGATTTGTAAAACACACATGGAACATCGGAAAGGCAAACTAAAGGGTTAACTTCACCAACTAATATTTGCTATGCCGAGATAGGGACTTTTCATTGATGCAAAGTTTTGTTCAGGTGAAAAAGGATGTCACGAATTAAATTTATTGGAGATTACCATCAATAGTTTTGTTGGGAGCGGAAAATTATCATTTACATATCAAATGAGTTTAAATAATATACTCACAATAAGGGGTTCAATATTATATTTAATTTAAAATTTTAATTGATCGAGTTTATGAGTCCTTTTATTTATATGTGTTATACTTATCTCATTCTTTTTTAATATGAGACTTTTATCACTCATACTTAAATTCCCGTCACATATGTTCTTAAGCCTTATCCATGAGGTATCTAATTGGGGTCATTTACTTTAAATTCAATGTGTTTCTTATTTAACATTAAACACTTTGTATTCTTGAACTGAAATAAAGGAATCATAGATAATTTTGTTGTTATATAGTTTGTTGAATTAAAACAATCTAGTACATATTTGACAACATTAACTTTCAACCTGTATAAGAATAAAAAAATTTACACTATATTCTGATTATTGACTTCACTTGCATCTAACATAATAAACTAGAAATGTTAGATGTAAATGAGATTAACGACTAAAATTAGATACAACATTTACATCAGTGTAATTTGATTTTATATATATAACTTTTGTTATAATCACCAAATAGTTTTTAGATTTCTTTTAAATATTTAATTTAAAAATAACTTTTAACTTAAAAGAAAATTCCAAATAGGCTCTAAGTCATCCATTTCTATAACCTTTTTATTTTGAAAACAATTTTGCAAACTTTAGTTTTCTTGAATATATTTTTCCTAATTTTATAGTCTGAATTCTAATTCAAGTGGCATTAAAAAGTTTTTAGGTGGCGTTTGGTTGAGGAATTTTTTTTCAAATACTAGGGAAATAGAATTGATAGGGAAATGGTAAGAAAGTGAGATAGATAGGGAAATGTAAAAAAAAGTAGTTTGGTTGGATAAAATTTTACCAGGAAAATATACAAAGAAATTCAACAAACAGTGACTTATCCGTGGTTTTTCAAAAGTCCACCTACCAAAATGGTTTTCTAACAGTGCCGAAAGCCATCTTTTTCATTTCCAATTCAGAAACCTATGCATTTTAATTGTCAGTTTTTTGGTCCGAAGGAACTTCACCAAATATGTGCTTCTTGGAAACCTTTTGTTAAATTCCCAGGAAAATTTCATAAAAATGCCCAACTAAACGCCACCTTAGACTTTATTTTACCATCATTTTCCTCGGAACAACTTTTTTCAGTTACCAAGAAAGCGTAAAACATAGTAATAAAAGGAGTGAGAATGAGACGATCAATAAAAGGGCGTTTGGTTAAGATAGAAAACGTAAAAAATCCTAAAAACTACTTAATTAACTTCGAATTCCAATTTAATGCCCTAGCACTCTTCACTCAATTGTATTCATACAACAAACACGGGGAATAATTTTATTTTAGTCCTTTTGGATGAAAATATGGAATAATTTTATTTTAAAGTGAAGAACACGAGGGATATTAATATATTATTATTCATTTTGTATAATTAGATGAGGACAAAGTTGTCATTTGAATCAGAAATGAAAAAAAGAATAAAATGCAAGGGTATCTTAGTCCCATACTTAAAACACAGACAGGTGTTATATAGAGGGCCTACAAATTTTGTGTGTTTCCTCCTAAAATGTGAAGATGTGAAATGCCAAAGATAATACCCCAAAATAAAGTACCAATTTTCTTCCCACCCAATCTCTTCCTCTGCGTTTCTCTGCAAAACCAGAAGCTCTGGGGAAACCGCAAGAAAAAACACAAACAAAATCAAAAAACCTTAACCCATTCTTAACTAAAACAACCCCATTATGCCATGCCTCACACCACACCCCTCTCTCCTCGTTCTTCTCTTCTCTCTCCCCCTTTTCTTTCTCTTCTCCCCTGCAAAAACCTCTCATTTACATTCCTTACGTATTCCAGGTCTTCTTCTTCTGTTGTCCACTTTCCTTCTCTCATTCTCAAAGTTTTAATCTTTTTTCAAATGGGTATCCGTTTTTATGTTTTTTCTTTTCTGGGTTTCTTTCTCAGATGGCGTTGAGGTTGTTGGTGAGAGTGAGTATGGCAAGGTGCTACCATGGAAAACAAGGAGATCCATGGCGGAAAATGACACAGCCAACACGTCTCTGATATTGGCTCAGAATCGGACAACCAGAAAGGACCCTCTTGACAATTTTAAGCGTTACACCGGTGGTTGGAACATCAGCAATAAGCATTACATTGCCGTTAGTTCCCATCTAACTTTATCTAATCACTGATAACTTGTTCAAAAATTTTCTCCTTTTTTTATTATTATTATTTTTAAACTTTTCTCATATGAAACATGAAGTCATAGGATATTAGACCAATTTTTTTTTTTTTTTTGGGATACAGATTTTAGACCAACTTTTATTAGCAGTTTGGTTCTAATTTTTTATTTTATTTTTTCACTGACTCAGAAATTCTGTGTTGTTGATGATGTTGTGTTGTTGTTTAGATTCTTTGGAAACAGTAATGTTTTGCTGACTTCATCTACTTGTTGGCTCTTGGTGCAGTCAGTTGTTTTTACTGCAGCTCCCTTCTTTGTTGTTGCTGCAGCCTGGTTCGTGATTTTTGGGATTTGTTTATCCTTCATCTGCTTGTGTTACTGCTGTTGTCCTAGAGAGCCTTATGGCTATTCACGTTTGGCCTATGCTTTGTCCTTGATCTTCCTCATTCTCTTCACCCTTGCAGCAATGTATCTTTCTGACTTTTTCTCTTAAAAATAAATCATCCGTTGTGTTATGCTTGTTTTTCATTGGCTTTTTTAGATTGCTAAACATGTATACTTTTTGATTATGTTAGAGTTGGATGCATTGTCCTTTACACTGCTCAGGGGAAGTTTCATGGAAGCACCACAAACACACTGGAATATGTAGTGAGTCAGGCTGACTTCACTGCTGAAAACCTCAGGAACGTGTCAGATTATCTTGATGCAGCTAAGAAAATTGGAGTTGATGCAGTTTTCTTGCCTGCTGATGTTCAGAAGCAAATAGATGATGTTCAAACGAAAATTAATTCGTCTGCTGTGGAGCTTTCCAGCAAGACTGCTGATAATTCAGAGAAAATAAAAGAAGGCATAGATGGAATGTAAGTACAAGTTGAATTCTTGATTCGATTTTTTTTTTTTAAATGTCTCTTTGCTAACAATTGTTTATTGTGCACTGTAGGAGATTGGCTCTTGTTGTTATCGCTGCTGTTATGCTCTTTCTTGCATTTCTCGGATTCTGTATGTTTCATATATCTTTTAATACCTGTTTGGATTTTCTTTTTATATGCTGAAGTTTTCCTATGATGTTATTGTCTCATTTTTGCTTGTGTTTTGTGGTCAAAACTTGTTGCAGTGTTTTCGTTATTTGGGCTGCAAGGTCTTGTATACTTGTGAGTTAAATCAATTGAGCCATTTACTGTTTCTTTATTCCTTCTGCTGTTTAATTCTTGATGGGTTTGTCCCATTAAAATGTCCATTCAGTAACTGATGTGTTTCCAATGGCTGCAGCTTGGTAATTGTCGGATGGTTTCTTGTTGCGGGCACATTTATACTCTGTGGTGTATTTCTTTTTCTTCATAAGTAAGTGCATGTTTTCTTGTAGAATTTTTTTTTGATTTTCACCTTAGTGCCGTTGTGGATGTATTGTTGTCTTGTGTATTATGAGTTTCTTTATTTTTCACCTTGGGACAAATCTGGGGTCTCTCATTTTATGGTACCTTTATGAAGAATGATTAAACAAAATGTGCAACCATGAGGTGTAACTTATTTTTAAGCCTAAACTTGAAAAAGGGTATTCTAATATATTATAGAATTGTAAATCATATGTACAAAAGGGTTCTCTATTTATAGAGAATACAAGACCTAGAATACTTGACCTAATGGGCTAAGCCCAATGCAACAGATAACAAATAAATAAATAATAATAATATTTACAACACCCCCCCTCAAGCTGAGGAATAGATATTTATCATTCCCAGCTTGCTAGTAAGTTCTTGAAATCTGTCTGGAGGAAGTCCCTTTGTCAATAGATTAGCTAATAGACGCCCAGTGGGAATGTATGGAGTGGTAATCAACCCGCTATCAAGTTTCTCTTTGATGAAATGGCGGTCAACCTCAATATGTTTAGTCCGATCATGTTGAACTGGATTATGAGCTATACAAATAGCGGACTTATTATCACATAGCAGCTTCATAGGTCCCTCACATTTTATTTTGAGATCATCAAGTACAATTTTCAGCCGCAGTAACTCACAAATGCCTTGAGCCATAGCTCAAAATTCAGCTTCTGCACTTGATCTGGCAACCACATCTTGTTTCTTACTTCTCCATGTCACCAAGTTACCGCAAAGAAACATGCAATAACCAGTGGTAGAACGACGGTTGGTCACGGATCCTGCATAATCAGCATCTGTGTAGACTTCTAAAGATAGATTGCCATCACGTCGGAATAACAATCCTTTACCAGGAGTACCTTTAAGATACTGAAGAATTCTCTCTACTGCCTGCATGTGTTTTTCCTTTGGATCGTGCATAAACTGACTGACAACACTAACAGCATAAGCTAGGTCTGGTCTAGTATGAGCAAGATATATCAATTTCCCAACTAGCCGATGATATTGTCCTTTATCAACTGGAGGACTCTCTTCTGCATAGCCCATCTTGTGATTCTGCTCAATAGGAGTATTAGAGGGTTTACACCCGAGCTTTCCTGCTTCTTTGAGAAGATCAAGAACATATTTCCTCTGGCTGATAAAAATTCCTTTGCTTGAATGAGCTACTTCTATCCCTAGGAAATATCTCAGTTTCCCAAGGTCTTTGACTTCAAACTCAGAGGCAAGCCGTGTTTGCAGGATCTGTCTCTCCACAAAATCATCACCTGTGATAATAATATCATCAACATACACAAGGAGCACAGTAAGCTTCCCATTTTGGGAGTGCTTGAAGAAAAGAGTGTGATCTCCTTGACTCTGTCTGTATCCTAAGGTTATCATACCCTTAGTAAACCTTTCAAACCAAGCACGAGGTGACTACTTCATTCCATACAAGGCCTTTTTTAATCTACAAACTTTATTTTGCCCCTTCACAGAATCAAAATCAGGCGGGATTTCCATGTAGACTTCTTCTTCTAACTCACCATTGAGGAAAACATTTTTTCACATCAAATTGATTTATATCCCAATTGTAATGGGCAGCAAGGGATAACAAGATTCTCACCGTATTCATCTTTGCAACTGGAGCAAAGGTTTCTTCATAATCAATGCCATAGGTTTGAGTGTAACCTTTGGCGACTAATCGAGCCTTGTATCTCTCAAGAGTTCCATCAGAATTATATTTCAGGGCATAAACCCATCTGCATCCTACTGCTTTCTTTCCGTTGGGTCTATCAATAACCTCCCATGTTTTATTTTTCTCCAACGCATTCATCTCCTCTTGCATGGCTTGAGCCCAATTCCCATCTTTCAAAGCTTCATGTTCATGTACTGGTTTTGGGATAGAAGTAGAATCTAGTGCTGAAACAAAGCTTTTGTACTGCACAGAAAGATTAGTAGAGGAAACAAAATGGGAGATAGGATATTGAGTACAAGAGGGACAGGAGGAACAAGATTTCTTGGAACAAGTTCTTTTTCCTTTTCTTAGGGCAATAGGTAAGTCATCAGAAGCAGAAGCAATGGGTGAGTCATTAGAGATATCAGAAGAAATAGACAAATCATGAAAGGCAATAATATTAGAATCAGAAACAGGAGATTCAGGAGATTCAGAAGATTCAGAAGAAACAGGAGACTCAGAAGAAACAGGAGATTCAGGACTTACCAGTGGTTTAGACGATTGAGGTTGCTGGTGAGACAGTATGGGTTGTTTCCTCCTCTGATATACCAATTCAGGTGTCAAAATTTTTCGTATCTCAGGTGTATTTGAAGGTTCTGACACACTAGGAGCAGACACACTAGGAAGAGAGAAAACTGATCCAGACTCAAAGAAGGAAGGGGACGAGTCTTTTGAAGAACTGTTCTCCCCCTGACGATGAAGACCCAGGAAATAAGATTCAGATTCTTAAAAGGTGACATCCATAGAAACAAAAAATTTCCGACTTGGTGGATGATAACACTTGTACCCTTTTTTATAAGGGGTATAACCAAGGAAGACACACTTAAGAGCCCTAGGATTCAACTTACTCCGATGTTGTTTATGAACATGGATAAAGGCAACACATCGAAACACTCTTGGTGGAAGGCTCTGCAATATGGGAACAGAAGGAAAGAAGGAAGTCATGGAATGAATAGGACTGATATTGTTAAGGACCCGTGAAGGTAAACGGTTGATCAAAAAAGTTGTAGCTAACACTGCTTCTCCCCAATAAGAACTAGGAACAGATGTCTGGAAAAGTAGTGCTCTAGCAACTTCAAGGAGGTGACGATTTTTTCTTTCAGCAACCCTGTTTTGTTGAGGGGTATCAACACATGTGAGCTCATGAATCATACCTCTGTATGAAATGAATTGTGACAGGCGTTGGTTGACGTACTCAGTACTATTATCAGATCTTAGTCTTTTAATACCCTTACCAAACTGAGTCTCAACCATGTGATGAAACCGAATAAATATCTCTGGTACTTCAGACTTGTCTTTCATCAAGTATATCCATGTTACCCGAGTACAATCGTCAATAAAAGAAACAAACCACCTTGCACCTAAAACACTGTGCACTTTAGAAGGGCCCCAAACATCAGAATGGATAAGAGAAAAAGGTTCCCTGCTTTTAATAGTGCTAGAAGGAAATGACACTCGATGGTGTTTTGCAAATTCACAAACATCACAATGAAAGGTTTCAACCGACTTATTGAGAAACAGAGAAGGGAACATAGACTTCAAAAGACTAAATGGTGGATGCCCCAGATGCTTGTGATGGAGCCAATTAAGACTCTGCAGTAGAAGGATGACGTGTCATTAATAATGAAATTCTGCTAGCATGGTCTGGAAGGAGATGATACAACCCATCCTGTTCATTAGCAACTCCAATTGTCTTCTTTGTGGTAAGATCGTGAATAACACAATGAGAAGGAAAAAATGTGATAGAACAATTCAAATCAGTTGTAAGTTTTTGAGTGGAGATAAGATTAGTAGAAAGCTGAGGAACATAAAGAACATTTTTAAGAAACAAGGAAGGTTGAATTTGAATGTTACCAGAACCAATAACTGATTTATGGGATCTAGTATGACTACCAACAATAGGATGATAAGAACAAAACAACTCAGTACGACAAGCCATATGATCAGTTGCACCAGAATCCAAAATCCATGAGGTTTTAAAATCAGTGCAAGAAGCAAGAAGAGATATAGAACGTGTGCTCTTACCAGATAAGATCAAAGAACCGTCATTCTCGGCCATTTTTCAATAAAAAGTTAACAACCAGCGATAAAATCAACCAAACAGATTATCAAATGAAGTCCGATCAGTGAAACAATCACAGATCCAGACAGAGAACAAGGAGACGAGAAGAATGGCGGTGGTCCGAGGCCAAAATAAGGTGTCACGCGCCGGTGGAGGTGGCTGAGCGTGGGCTTCACGCGCTGTAGCTTGGGCGGCGCGTGGGCTGTCCTCTCCGGCTGAAATTTTTGCACGGTGGTCGTCCGGCGAGCGCGCACCTGTCTGTGGGTGGTCGCGGTTGAAAAATCACCGGAAGGTGGTCCAGACGCGATGACAGATCTGTTTGGGCTGTGTAATCGGTGTTCACGGCTGTTTGGATGTGTTTGAGCTGTGTAATCGGTGTTGGAGGGTGTAATCGAAGAAAAAATAACAGTGAACAGTAGTCCTCTTGGTCCAAAAGGTCCCCGAAATTTTTTTTTCCGGTGGCGGCTGATGGCAGCAAGAGACAAAGGGATCAGGGTTTTTTTACTCTAAAGGCAAATAGGCGCGGAAGCAGAACCCTCAGATCGAGAGCTCTGATACCAACTTGAAAAAGGGTATTCTAATATATTATGGAATTGTAAATCATATGTACAAAAGGGTTCTCTATTTATAGAGAATACAAGACCTAGAATACTTGACCTAATGGGCTAAGTCCAATACAACAAATAACAAATAAATAAATAATAATAATATTTACAACACCTAATCATATATAATCATATATGGATGAAATCGTCACTGGCCTTTCCTTTTACTTTGTTTTGTTTGTTAATCAGGAAGTGGATTCATTGCAAGATATATGAAAATTGAAAAGCTTTGCAATACTAAGAACCTCCAGTAAACTTTCAAAAAAAAAAATAAAAAAAACTAGTAAACTCTATTGGTTTAACATGAACTTTTGGTTTAGATTATTTATATCTTCTCAACTAATATATGCTTTAACAGAATGTTCAGATGGATTGCTTTATAATGTGTTTTGAAAAACATTTTATTCTTGAAGGAAACGGGAAGTTTGAAGCAGTAAGAAAGAATTGAAACTCTAGATCTTGAAGTTTATTCATATTTTGAAATCAACATAGAGCATAATGATTGGTGATATTATTAAAATGAAATTAATCATTTATGAAGACTGCATGCTTCAGTTATGATAACTGAAATTTGAGTTGAAAGGATCTTGTTGAAATTTTCAAAATGTCTGAAACAAAGTGGGAAATTAAGGAGTATATTGTTAGATTTGTTGTTTAAACTGTCTGCTGGCTTTATTATCATTATATTCTAGACCTACTCCTTTTACTTACTGAGAGTGAAAATAGTTAGAATTTGAGGATTAGGGCTTTTGTTGCTTATGAAATCATCAGTTAATAGCTTCATTTGTTCTATAGAGACTATTTTTTCTTTGCTTCTTTGGTAAAATATGTCAACATAATAATGGAACAGCATCTGAGTTTATGATAGTGTTTCTGCTCCAATGAGAAGCAAAGCATTGTTTTTTCCATCGCATGTTATTTGGTTTCCAGTGTATATATGGGATTGTTTTTTTTTTTTAGATGATGCAGCACTTTTGTCTTGTCATTTCAAGCTGTATTTTTCAGTCATTAAAATAAAACGAATTCTTACTTGAGAGCATGAAAAAACTGGGTACTTCTTTGAATGCTTTGCTAAGTTTTTTTCAGTACTTTATAGATCTAGTTTATGAAATACTCATGAAGACAATTGTTTTAATTACCTTTCTCTATATCATTTGATGAAGTTCATTGCTGCTATTGTCACTTATGTTGCATGTATGTAATGAAAGACTAACTTTATTGCATATTTTTACCAGTGCTGTTGCAGACACATGCGTTGCCATGGATGAATGGGTTCAGAACCCTACTGCACATACTGCTTTGGATGAAATTCTTCCATGTGTTGATAATGCAACTGCCCAGGAAACCTTGTTACGAAGCAGGGATGTGACACACCAACTTGTGAAATTAGTTGACAACGTCATTGCCAATCTCACAAACAGAAATTTCCCACCTTCTGTTAAACCCTTGTATTACAATCAATCAGGCCCCCTCATGCCTCTTCTGTGCAATCCGTTTAACCCTGACCTCACAAGTCGGAAGTGCGCAGCTGGGGAAGTTCCAGTGGACAATGCTGCAGAGGTAAGAGCCTATTTAAGATTTTGAAAAGTAAATCTATATCCGGGAAAGGAAAGCCTAGCCATACATTTTCAAATTTTCATGCTAAGTCCCCTTTTTTTGTAACTTGTTTGGTTTGTCTCTGATCTGGTGGCATGTGTGAATGGATTTGGATACGCATTTCTTTCCAAACTGCATGATCCTGATATAAAATGTGTGTGTAACATTCAGCTTTTGTTTCAAGCAGGTGTGGAAAAATTATACTTGTGAGGTGTCTTCATCCGGCATTTGTCAGACGCCGGGTCGGATGACCCCCACCATTTATGGCCAAATGGAAGCTGCAGTGAATATAACCTATGGCTTATATCACTATGGTCCATTCTTGGTTGATTTAGAAGACTGCACTTTTGTACGAACAACATTCACAGATATCAGCAACAAATATTGTCCTGGCCTTCGGAAAAATAGTCAATGGATTTATGTTGGATTAGTTTTGGTGTCTGCATCTGTCATGCTGTCTTTGATCTTTTGGGTCATCTATGCTAGAGAGAGGCGGCATCGGGTTTACACTAAACAGTTCTTTGACGGTTAAATATGTTTGGACTTAAACAAAAATTAGGTACAATATGATTCTCATGTACATTTGAGTTAGATTGTATTCGATGTTGGTATCTTATATGAGATGTAGAGTTATTTATCTTACAAATACTTTGAGTAGATGTGTGTAAAGTTATTCAAGGAGCAACAATTTACTTGGTTACTAAATTATTGGTATGTTTTTATATGAATTTTGTTATTTTGTCAATCTTCTGATGCCTGTTTGTAATGTTTATTATACACATTACTTGCGATTAAATATTTCTAGAGTTGTGGAATTACGCTTTGACTTAAAGGTGTTCATCCATTCTATTTGGCTTGCATGTTCTCTGAGTTTTGCACTTTTGGGGCGTTTGGTAGGAGATATTTTTTTTTTTCGAGAAAAAAAGATTTTTGAGAATATGGTGAGAAATTATTTTTTTTCGGGTAAGTTACGAAAATGTATTTGGTAGGTCTAATTTTTTTTCAGAAATATTGGGTTAATTATATTGATGTTATGAAAAAAAAACTGAAATGACGAAAAAAAAAAAATTTCGAGAATATTTTCAATTTTCTTGTACCTCGGAAAAAGTTTTTGCCTAATGTTCATAACAAACAACCCCCTAGGCCAAGCCTCTAATATGAGGATGAGTCGTGGGCCCAGATTTTACACAAACAGAACAAAGGATCCGTAGGTGGGCCGGTCCTGTGTTTCTTGATACGGACCATAAGACACCTAGACACCGCCTACTATGGCCCAAATAAAGAAAATAAGACTTCCCTTTCTACCAATTAGGGAATGCAGACATAGTTTCCAAAAGTATAATGAATGATACTTGTGCTATTCTTTTTGGGTTACATTTGATATGAAAGGTGGAAAGTGTTATTGGGGAGGACACTGTATGTTATAGTTTCTGAAGGGTATTTGACCAACTCTTAGGACCACATTGGCCGTGATTTTGGGGTATATGCTTGTTATGAGAGGTGAGATTTATTATTGATCCATCCATCAATTAAAGGACTTCGCGCGTATACGTTCATTGTTCTTGTTTGTTTGTTTGATTTGGTACATACATATGCATTCATTACTTGATTCTCTGTTGGTGAAATACCTTTTTTTTTTGGTGGGGTCGGTAAAGTTTCTGTCTTAGATAAGCTCACTTTTGTTGTGGTCGTGTCCCAGACTTGAGCGTTTAAAGCATTCACGTTCTTTATGCTTTACCCCCTTCATATCTTAGAATTTACGGATGCTAGTGCTTCGTTTACTGAAAGGTTGCCCAACAAGGCAACAATTATAAAAAGAAGGGCAAAGATGGCCTCTTAAAAGCGCTGCGTGAATCAATTGTTATTGAACCCGCTCTTCGGGCACAAGGAAAACATAAAAATCAGTAAGACAAGCAATCCACTTGTTTTTGACCCAAGAAGCGTATTTCATTCGACCACGGATACACACTAGATTATCTTGCTTTATGATTCTATCCACCATCAGTTCCACGTCTTAATATAATTCAATCCAATGTTGGCTTGCTCCGGTAAAAAATTATTTTAATCTAAAAATTGAAGTTATTAGGTGAAAGTCATATTAATATTTTTATATTATAATCCTCTAACACATTTTCTTATATAAGAGTCTATCGAATTTGAAGTGAAAGCAATGCACAAGTCGATCTACTTGTGTCGAGAAATTCAACAATATTTAATTATTGATTATAAAATAAAGGGTGAAAATCAAACTCGTGAAGACTTAGTCATATGAACTCTGATATAAGATAAAAAAATAATTTAAACTCAACAGTTTAAACTGTTAGGTGAAAGCCACGTTAATAATTTTATAGTATATTTCTCTAAATAGTGTTGTTGATATGAAAAGATAAGATTTTGAACTGTGATAAATACTCATTTGCCCTCTAGAAGATAGTTCCCCCGAGGCCAAATTGGTAAATGCATTTGAGGCCAAATATCTCCTCTAAAGTCTAAATTACTTAATCCACCCGCTAGCTTACTAGGAATTCCCACTCAAACACAAGGTCATCAATGTACTTACCAAATATAAACAAAATCCCATTCTATTAAATCGCCTTCAAGGCTTCAACTACAACCTCCCATTAGTTCAGCCAATAAAACATTCAAATAAAGAGAATCATACGCTTCAAACTCCAATCCCTTTTGGGGTATGAACTACTCCATGGCCTCAAGAAGTGCTCCTTCAAATTCAAAGTCCCATTCCCACACAAATCCACCACCCCCTCATCCACCAGCATCACGTACATGCTTGTGTTCACCCACCACACACCCTGGCTCCTTCAGGTGCAGCATGCACAAGAAGCCCCACAAAGCTCTGCCAAGATCCATGCCTACATATCCCTCCAACAACACTCATCATTGGGAGCTACCAATGGCTGCCAAAGCTAATTCTTTGAAGGCAATCCTCTTGCAAGTTATTAAACCCTCTAGCCATGATCTTCATAGGAGGAAGAATTTCCAACCAAAGCCTAGTAGGTTTTGTTTGATGAATGGTAACAGAGATGCTGTTGCTGTTTCTTGATCAAAAATCAATTTTCTTTGGTCTCTTTTCTGTTTGTAGTTATATGTGTACCTAAGGGAATCTCTTGTGCCTTTTTCTTTTTCTTGGGTAAGAAATAGTGTATGTGATCATATCTGTATATACTAGTTTTGAAAATGTGTTATAGTGGAAGTTGCAAGAAATCACAGTTTTGATTGCAAGTATCTATTGGAAGAAACTGGGATGTAGATTTTGCTAGAGGATACCTTGATTCTGATGATATTTTTCATTTTAATTTTTCGTTTCATTTGTTTTGCAATATATGATGCATAGTTTAATGTGATTTCTGAAGGACATAAAATCTTATTTTTCTATTTTCATTATTAGTGCTATTATAATATTTTTTAAAATGTTATAGATGGGTTCTACAAAACCATACCTACTCTATTTATTGGGATGAAATGGACTGCTTCTAACTTTATATCTTTTTGTCCATGATCTTGGCTTATATCTCTTGCAAAAGAAACCAACTTAGTATTAGTTCCTTTATGCAATTAAGGAAAAATTAAATATTTGATTAAAAAATAACAATGGGGGGAAAAAGAAGAAGAAAAGAAGAAAGAAGGGGCTGGCAAGGTCTCATTTATCATAATATTGAAAGCACTTTGATTCATTCGCCATTCTGTCTCTTATTCTTAACACATTACAATATTATTACAACAACCTAAGCTTGAAATATCTAAGCACCCAAGATCTAGCCATGTGGGCTTCTTTCATTTTGTCGCTTCGACATAAAAACTTTGCAATTCTGTTGGCGAATTGTTTAATTGCTTCTCAGGTTGGCCTCACATGAAACTTTTGCACTACCACGATCCCTGCTGAATCAACAAAAGAATAACTGCAGTTAAAGGGGGAAAAAAAAAAAGACAAAGCAAAACAGAACAATGATCACAGTTGGCAGATATATGACATTTATATAAAAATGGTTCATATTGGGAATGTCGTGGTGGATCACATCATTATTAGTATTTAATTGGACAGGTCAACTAACACTATTGGTTAAAAATCTTGCTGCCTAATTTACCTCCCTTAAGACAAAATGAAGGTCATATATATTGACAGTGACATAGCTATATTATATCAATGTGGAAGCGTCTTCATTCTTATTCCTTTTCAAGCACATATAATATATAGAGAATGTATAAATAATTCACATAAGATCTAGGATAACGTTAAACTTATTATAGTATTCGTTTTATATCTTAATATGCCAACTTGCACCAAAACCACTAATAATTTATACTAAGTATTATGTTTTTTGTTTAGCATATTTTAAAAGAACTATATTTCAAATCTAATGTACCTGCTCCATTTTCAACTCAACTAACGACATCTTAATTTTCAATGCACTTAATTATTCATGCTATTTCAACATTCTAGCATAAGCACGTGATGTTTATCATGACCACCATTTAGAAGAGCATATATTATTGTGTTATTGATAAGGTTTATAGTTTCGTGGTTGTGAGACAGCCATAGGAACCCTTACTTTATATTTTATTAATCTCATGGGTGTGAAAAATACGTGCCCTCCTTTTATGATGGAAAACATTGTTTTTATTTTTTATTTTTATATGTTTTGGTGGTGAGATTAGATTTATTTTCCTTGATAAGATGAAGTATCTCAATGCAACGGTGCTCTTACAAACTGTGGTATCGACCAAAGTTTTATGAGTGTCTTATGCGAAGGCTGAGAGATGAGTTGATGTAAAGGGCATTGTGGCTTTGTATTTTTGGTAGAGCAAAAGCTCATAAAATGATAGATTCAAAATGTCTTTTCAATTGTTTCCAAATAAAAAAAGATGCACTTTCAATGGATAAAGAGGAGTATTTATAGGTGTAAAATAAGAGAAATGATACGTTTACAAATTTTTTTTACAAATTATACTAAGTATGACCGGTCATGCACTCTTGATTGAAGTATGACCGGTCATACTTAGTGTAGTTTGTAAGAGTTTGTAAATATAATCTTCCACGTAAAATTATATATCTAATTATAAGAGAGAGCCTTTGTTTAGTGGGACCCAATGTATGCTTGCAGCATACACGTTTCTTGAATATGGAATGAGATGAGTTAGTGTAGGGACGAGAGATTATCAATTAGGAGAGTATAAAAATCTCACTTTAGAAAATTAAAGGGATAAACTCTTAAATAAAGATGGACTTATGAAAAAAATACTTTATGCTTATTTTAGAAGTATTTTTTATAAAAATTAAAGTTATTTAGATTTTTAAATTTAAAAAATATTTAAATTTTGAAAAAAATATTTGACTTTTGATTTCTGCTTTTTTTATAAGTTAAAATTGTTAACTTAAAAAAAAGGATTTTTGATCGTTTTTGTGACTGCTATTTAAAAAAAAAAGACAGACATCCAAATAGACTTTATAGTAAAAATATTTTTTTTCTCTAAAAAAAGCAATTTTTGGCTTAAAAAAAAGTCAATCCAAACGTCCATAGTTAAGTATGGCCGATCCATAACAATTTTGGTATTTAATCTTTGTCCTTTCAATAAGCGAAGAGAGCTTTGCTTCTAGTTTGTGGAGGAAATTCGCAGTAAGATAACTAAAATAATTAAATTGATGGAACCAATGAGATGTGAACAGAACAACACTACATATACATTGGAAAGATGCATTCCTAGTCACTAGCCGGCTGTTCTAATCTCCCCAATAATTGGACCATGAAGTTCCAAACCTGTTGCATGTGCCACACTTTGTTTTCATGACCATTTCATAATGTACATAACCTTTCAAGGTTATTGTCGAATTGCATATCATTTACGAATATCAACCTAGGACCACAACACAAGTGGAGGCTTACGTGTCTAATTGATTGTAATGTCTGCACAGGATCAAGATAAGAGTCACCATTCACCGCAATAATTTGGGATTATAGAGATAGTGTTTGTCTGCCATCCATGGGAAAGAAGTTAATACAAGAGCAAAAATGAGAGGATACAGCTCATTGTGGGAAAGGTTTTTACGAAATGAGCAATTCCCCCACTAAGCTAAACACGATAGCTTTATCCTTTGTTGAAAATTAAATTTCGTTAGTTTTGTTTTTTTTTTTGCTTTTTTCCATGAGTATTTTTGTTTAGAAGAAGCGAAAGTAATGATCATGACTCACGAGGATCAAGAGATAAGATGTAAATAAAAAAACTAATTACAAGTGTAAGTTCAAATTTTTAATAATGACTAATTGATATAGTAAGAAAATTAATCAAATGACATTATGGCAGTATGACAGAGTTTGTTGTCACTTGTCAAGTATTGGTATTAGTGAAAATTGATTAGAGTCATAAGACATGCTGGATTTCCCCCTGCATGGGTGTTTGGTACATGTTTTTCAAATGGTTACCCAGACAAGTTGAAATGGTATTTCGATGAGACCCCATTAGGTACAAGAGTTTAACAATTTTCACGGCAACATGGTTTTCCTAGGCGTGCTGAATATGTGCAAATGTTAAAATAAATTACTGTTGTAAATAACCATTACGAGGGTGGTATTTCGCTATTAGCTGGGAAATGAAAATTTGGGCGCGGATATGGAGACGAAAATATCCCCGTTGTACTGTTGAAATTGGAGTCTCTCTTCTCAGTTGTAGCATATGTGTGGACAAGAATAGAATTTGATTCTTTCTTCTTTGTTGCTCCATTCCAATGGCTAGAGGCCATGCTTCTTCTCTCCTTAACTTGTGCACTCGCAAGAGAACCCTTTCAAGACTCAAACTTCTTCTCTTCAACCGTTCTTCTCAAACTTCTTCAACCTCCCAATTTCACAACACTTTTCATGACCCACTTCGCCCCTTTTTGACCCGTTTCATGAACCCGGGTTTTCACCCGAACTTATCCCAAAGTCGAAGTCTTTCCAGCGTCAGAATCCACCCTACGAGGCCGTTTTCCACCGCCGGCGACAAGGGTGACAGCGACAAGAAGCCGGAGTGTGAATTCGACGCTGGTTTCGGTCAGAATGTTGGTTTTGAGCTTGGAAATAAGGTTAGTGATGATGTTTATGCTTTATTTGAAAATGGGGTTGTTGCAAATGATCAAGGTAGTAATGAGTGCAATTCAAAGATTGTTGATTCTCTAAAATGTAGTAATAGTAGTAGGAGGCGAAGAAGGGGATTTATTGTAGTCCGCTTAGATTGTTGGCTATGGAAGTTTTTGACAAGGTTAATGCGAAAGGTGTTTATTGCAGTCTATACTAACTGGGCAAGAAAAGAAGCGTGTGCAAAAGTTAGGAACATTAACATGTGCAAAAGTCAAGAACATTAACGTTGGTTGAACAGGACAACCCGACTATTGTCGATGTTTTAATCAATGGTTACATTTTTTTAATATTCAAAAATAAAATAAAAAACCCTTTTTCGTAATTTACGCTCATTATCCCATCAATATTTTACTTCAATCAAACATAGACTTTGTAAACTTCAATTAATTTACCCAGTAATATTTCAGTCTACCAAACAACTTTTTTAAACCTTTCCCATCAAACTTGATTTCATACAACATTACCAGTTATTATGCTTACCCGGTAAAAAAATATTACTTCTTTACCAAACGCCCCCCTAATATATAATCCCCGTGTAAAGACATCGTACATGAATATCTAAAATGTCATACAAAATATAAAAATTTTCAATGCCCAAAAAATATATAATGACAGACATAAAAATTAAGGGGAGGGTTACATTTATAATTTTTTTGTTCACAAACTCTTATAAACTACTCTATGTATTCCCAGAAGTACATTAGGTTACACTATGTACTTCCTGGAATACATAATATAATTTGTAAAAACAATTTGTAAACGAATCCATAAATTAAAAAACACCTCCTAACATTTTTTTGATATACAGGCAAAGCAACATTAGGCTCAACTAAGCTAATACCCACACTAGCCTTAGCCTTTTGAAAATCTATGGAGCTATAACAATGATACCCACTGAAAATATTTATACTAATTTCTTGTGCATGAACCC